GGCCCCTCCCAGCTCTTCCATCCCCTGTTTTAAGGCCTCTCCTAGCTTTGATGTTCGATGTTGTAAGGTCTTTCCTACTTCTAGCATTCTCTGCTCCTAAGGCCTTCACATCATTGATATTCCATGTCCTAAAAGATGTCCCAGTTTTGATATTTTATGATTTTATAACTAGAGAATCCATTGGGCCAGGAATACCAGGTGGGCAGTTTACCAACAAGCTTGCCCTGAAAAAAATGACTATTTCCTCAATCTGGGCATAAAGTACAACTCAAATAAAGCTGACTTCCTATAGAGAACATAGAGAAATACTTAAGAAATCCAAAATATTTTATTTCACTGTTTGTCATTTCTGAACTGAACCCATTCAAGGAGGCCAAGGTCAGGTTGAGTGCTCCTCTGTGACCAGTAGGTGGCACTACACCACAATAGTAGCTACCAACACTGTTATCAACCGGACTACATGCTCCGCCTCCAAAGGACACCAGGGGGAGCTGTTTCCAAAGGAGACCAACCAGTACATATCTTCAAACACATTTTTAAACCCCTTAACCCTGGAGCCTTTTCCCTTAACCACGGCACTTTCCTACCCAAGAAGCAACAGAGTGCCCCCTGCCTCTAGGCTCAAATACACACTCCTCTGTTTGGCATTGAAAGCCTATCTTTCCAGGCTCAGTCCACACACTGGCCAAACTGCTGGTCCTTATACACAACATCCCATCTCCTGTCTCCAGGCCTTCGCTCAGGCCATGCCTCATGCCTGGAATGCAATCCCTTCTTCTTCCACATCATAAAATACTCGCTTCCTTCAAGGATCAGCTATAAGGCCACTTTCCACAAGAAGCCTAATTCTACCACATTTGCCCATGCCCCAAAATTGTCGTGTATACCGTTTGGATTTAATTTTCTACATATGTACTGTTTCCCACCTCCCAATAGCTTGCACGGCTTTCATTTTTGCCTGGGCATCTTCGTTGCCTAGCACTGCATCTGGACGTATTTGGTGCTTTGTGAATGTGCGATGAATTGGATTAGGTAGGGGATGCTGACGGGAGCTAGCCTCGCGCCTGAAGATGACCCAGTCATGTGTGGCCTGGGGGACAAGTCACTTAAACCCTCTATCTAGAAGGCTGGGTCCCTTCAAGTCCTAGTCAATGATCGACTCTTAGCAGAGTGCCTGGCACATTTCATTATTCAGCTGTTTTTCAGTTGTGTCTGATTCTTCAGGACTCCACTTGGGGTTTTCTTGGTAGAGATACTGGAGTGGTTTGCCATTTCCTTCTCCAGCTCATTTGACAGATGAGGAAACTGAGGCAAAGAGGCTTAAGGGACTTACTCAAAATCACACAGCTAGGAAGTATCTGAGGCAAGATTTGAACTTGGGTCATCCTGCCTCCAGACGGGGATGTCTGTACACCACACAAGCTGGTCCCTCCTAACTTGCTACTAGTCTTTTTACACCATTACTCTTTTCCATGTGCCTTCTTGTTGCTGTTCCTCAAACAAGACACTCACCTTCCACTCCAAGTATTTGCAGCTAACCCCATGCCTGGAACTGTCTCCCAAATCATCTCTCCTTCCTGGCTTCTCTGGCTTCCTTCTACTCTCAGCTAAAACCCCACCTTCTACAAGACATCTTTCCCTAGTCTTCCTTAATCTTGGTGCCTTCCCTCTGAGACTACCCCCTTTTCTCCCATCTATGTATTGTTTGTATGGAGTTGGGGTCATGTGATCTCCCCCCTTAGACTGTCAGCTTCCCAAGAGTGGGCACTTTCTTTGGCCTTTCTCTGTATCCCATGAGCACCTGGCTCATGGGAATCTATCCACTCCACTTCATCCCTGTTAGAGAGAAAGAAAGAGTCCTCCGAGTGCTCCACACTTGCCCAAGGAAACACAGCTAGTCAGTAACAGAGCCGATCTCATGACTGTTAGCCACAGGCTCTGGCTGGGGATCTCATGTAGGGTTACCGGTCTTATACAAAATCCAACTATGAAAATCTTCACAGAGAATGACAACCTTCATGCCCGAGATCTCTACTGGAGGCTCATGCCCATCACAACTGGTAACACTGAGACAAAAGGAAACCACTGGTTTGCTGAATGAAGCGTGGGTTAGACTGGAAATAAGCCAAGACATTAAAATCTGATTTCTTCCAGGAAGCCTTGGATTGAAGCCACGTGTGTTACCAAGAGACCTCCAACGCTCTCCTCCTGTGCCTCAGCAAGATTTCACCTCCCTTTGTTAGATTTAGGGGACATAGCATAGGACCCTCAGTTTTTTTCCTGCAGACCCATTTTTCACTCTCTGGAGGGGAAGGGGCCATATTGGCAGCTACCAACTAATATGTTCTCCCCATGGGAACTACAGGGGAGCTGGTCAGCTCACCTACTGATTCATGATCAATCACATTAATTTCAACAATAAATGGGTCAACAGGGGCCTCCAGGTATCCTATCTGCTTATGGGCTTAATATTAACGGGGGCAGCTGGTGGCACAGTGAATAGAGCACTGGGCCTATAATCAGAAAGACTCATCTTCCTGAGTTCAAATCTGGCCTCAGACACTGGGTGACCCTGGGCAAGCCACTTTACACTGTCTGCCTCAGTTTCCTCATCTGTAAAATGAGCTGGAGAAGGAAATGACAAGTCATTCCAGTATCTCTGCCAAGAAAACCCCAAAATGGGTCATGGAGAATTAGATACAACTGAAGAACAACAACAAATTAATAGATTTCTTTGCCCTAATTCTTATCAGTCAACTGAGACCATGCAGAGCACCCAATATGTGAAAAACACTCCACTAGGCATTCTGGGCAGAGACCCAAAACATGGAAGCTTACATTCTCACAACGGAGACAAGAAACATAAATATAACAGATACCCCAAAAAGTAACTAATGAGACATACAACTCAAGCGAATAATGACGATGTGGGACCAAGGAAATCAAATAATCCCTACAAGTATCATTATCATATTAAGAATAAAATCAAATAAAATATCCTGGTAATCCTTCCCAGCTCTGACATCCCCTGTTCCGAGGCCCCTCCCAGCTCTGACATTCCCCATTTGGAGGCTGTTTCTAGCTCTGACATTCCCTGTTTTGAGGTTGTTTCTAGCTCTGACATCCCATGTTCTGAGGCTGTTTCTAGCTCTGACATCCTGTGTTCTAAGTTCCCTTCTGAACACCTTATATTTTGTGATTCCAAATCTCTCACCCTCTCTGCTTTGTCTAGTAGAGTACCCTTAATATAGGTGGCTGCTATAGATCATAAGCCTGGAGGGCAGGAACTGTGTCCAGCCCAAGGTGCTGCCGACTCACTGAGTACTTAGTGAATACTTAATGACGCCTCAAGGCCTGACTGGAAGTCAAACCTCAGCTGTACACTCTTAGCTTGACTGACAGTTTCCTTAAAGACCTGATTTCTGAGCAGGCCCTTGGAAAGCCCAAAGCCCAGGCTTGTGGGCCAGAAGCGTCCCTGCTTTTCCATCACCCTGCTGGCTTTGGGAGCAGGCCTGACCCCTCAGGGGGCTGCGTCCCATTCTTTCCTGCTATTTTAAGGAGCAATTTCCCATGTGAAGAGAGCATGACTGCAGCATTTTTTGGTGGTGTTAAGTGTGATTGGCAATCATGACAGCTCGCTGGAGAGGAACACTCCTCAGATCTCATTCCAGTCTGTCATTACGGGGGGGGGGGGGGGGGAATCTAGTCTCTAAGGAGGAGCTGCAAGTTATGGGCATAGTGACTGGTTATTTCCAGGCCAGTTGGGCTTCATGTATAAAGACGAGGAATCCGTTTAGCCGGAGACCCTCCAATCGGTGAGGAGCTTACATCTTTAGCACAGTGCCTGGCACACAGTAGGGGCTTAATATGTGCTTGTGGATCAATTAGTTGACATTGTTTTTGTCCAATCATTTTTCAGTTGTGTCCGACTCTCCGTGACCCCATTTGGGGTTTTCTTGGTAAAGGTACTGGAGTGGTTTGCCATTACTTTCTCCAGCTCATTTTACAGAGGAGGAAACTGAAGCCAACAGGGTGAAGTGACTTGCCCAGGGGCACACAGCTGGTAAGTGTCTGGTTCTGGATTTGAACTCAGGAAATCCAAGCCAGGTATTCTGTGCAGTATGGCGCTCCCTAGCTGCCCCCATTAGTTCACAGACACCTCTATTTTTGTGCATGTTGTCTTTCCTGTTAGAATGTAAACACCCCAAGGGCTGTCTTTGTATACCTAGAGCCTTACACACAGTAGGTGCTTAATAGATGTTTCTGATCGAATAATTAATTTGTATATACTTGGATGTTTACATGTTGTGTCCTATAATAGAAGGAAAGCTCCTTGGGAGTAGTGACTGATTCAGTTTTGTACCTGGAACTGTATCCAGCACTTGGTAGGCTCTTTTCTTTTTAGGCAGCTGGGGTTAAGTGTAGGCACTTTTCTTTTAAAAATTATTATTTTTTAAAATTTTTCTACATTCACTTTAATAAGATGTTGAGTTCCACATTTTTTTCTCCCTCCCTTCCTTCCCCCCCCAGAAGACAGCACGCAATCTGATATAGATTATACACGTAAAATTATATTAAACATACTTCCTTAGTAGGCACTTTAAAGAGTACTTGTTGAAGTGAATTGACAACTGCAGGTAGGAGATGGACCAGAAAGAGTTGGAAACACTTGGATTTGGGAAGAGAAGAGAACATTTATTCAAGGGCCTACTATGTACAAGATGCTGGGCTAAGCTTTACAAATATTATCTCATTTGATCCTCACAATAACTCCGGGAAGTAGATGCCTTTATAATCCCTATTTTACAGGTGAGGAAACTGAGGCAGAGAAAGGTTAAGTGATTTGCCCAGAGTTATACAGCTAGCAAGTTCCTGTGGCTGGATTTGAACTCAGGTTCTCCAGATTCAGAGAAGCTACGGTCTGATGCTTGACTCAGACCCAGATTACTTACTCTCCAGCCAGTAGGCAAGGGCTGAGCCCCACCAGTCCACCATCTTACCTCTCCCCACTCTGCCGAGGATCGTTCCAGGTCCCATACTGGCTATCACTCTCCTGCACCAGGGTGTCCGTGTCCTTGGCCTCCGGGGGCTGCCTCGAGAAACACTGTTTGAGCTGATCCTGCAGAGACAAAGGGGAAAACGGACATGAGAGCAGGAAGTGACCCTGGGCCCCTTCCCGCCATGACCCCAACCAGCTCATGGCCCTGGCAAGTACACCCAAGAACCCCCTGGCCCATGGGCTCATCAGGTTCAAGGCCACAGTCAGGGAGATTATCCCAGCTTAGGAAGGGAGGAAAAGTCCAGGTGGCAAACATAAGAATGCAATTTCGAGGACACAGTGTGAGAGGTTATGAATGAGCAGAAATGATTGTCACGGTCACATCTTGCCATGGGATGGGGGCTCTTAACCTCGGTTCACAAGAATCACAGAACCATAGATTCAGAGCTGAGGAGACCTTAGGGGCCACTGAGTCCAATCCCCTCACTCCTCCCACTCTGCCATTTTGCAGATGAAGAAACAAGGCACGGAGAGGTTGTGACATGCACAGGGTCACACAGCCAGGAAAGGTCTGTGGATTTGAACATAGCTTTAAAAAAGAAAAAAAGGATCACCAAAAGTCATGACAGAACTGGAATATGCCAATCTCATTTTGATGATGAGGAAAACGAGGCCCAGAGAAGGAAATGACCTACCCAGAGCCACACGGCAGAACTGGTAGCATGGCCTGTTTTGGTTTAATAGGATAACAATCCATTGGGAATCGTTTTTCATTTCTTATTTCAAAATCTTTCCCTCCTGCCTAGAGGATAAAGTCTAGCTAGGCCCTGAAGGCCCTCTCCCAGCTAGCCTCAACATACCTTTCTAGTTTTATTTCCCTATATCTCCTCTCCCTAGAAAGACAGTGAGACTGTGGATAGAGTGTTGTACTTGAAGTCAAGAAGACCCAAATTTCACTTGTGTAACCTTGGGTAAGTCATTTCAGCTAATCTGAATCTCAAGTTCCTAAACTGTAAAATGGGGTAATAATAATGTAGGCTTTATTTATGGGGTATTGTAAGGCTCAAGTGAAATAATGTATCTAAATGCTTTTAAAATATTATATAAACATCAGTCATCATCATTATCATTGTTATTACATGAAGTCTTTCTCCAGCCAAACTAGGCTCTGGGCCTCAGTTTCCTCAACTATAAAAAACGTGGTGATTAGATCAGATGGGCTCTAAGGTTTCCTCTCCTCCAAAGCAACAATCCCATGATTTCTGGACTTCAAAATCCTGCTTTGCTACTTACTGCCTGTGTAGACTCGTCACATCTCTGAGCCTCAGTTTCCCCATCTGAAAAATGAGGGCATTGAACTAGATGACCTCTGAGGTTCTTTCTAGCTCCACAATAATTGCTCTCTGATCCTATGATGAGATGACCTCTACTTCTAGCCACAGCATTTTTTAAATCAAAGTGTCAGTCCAAACTCTAAGTATTTAAGGGCCAACTGAACTTCCTCCAGGAAGCCCACCTGCAACTGATCTCCCTCTGAACTTCCAGTCCTGTTCTTTAGATGTGCTGCTCATGCGTCAGAAGAAAGAATGGCTTCCAACATGGCGGAAGGCACCATATGGGGAATTTGGGGGAGGACATGGAAAAGAGTCATACAGGATGGGCAGGGCATGGATGGATGGATGGATGGATGGGTGGATAGATGGATGGACAGGCGGATTGAGGGACGCACGGACAGATGCATGAATGGATGGACAGACACATGAATGGATAGATGGATTCATGGATGGATAGATGGATGCATGGATGGATAGATGGACGTGTGGACAGACAGATGGACACATGGATGGATAGAAGGGGGTGGACAGAAAGATGGACGCCTGAATGGATAGATGGATGCATCGCAGACGGGTTGTGACCCATATCACTGAAGGAAACTCTCAAACCAATGAAGTCACAGATAATTGCAGAATATTTGAGTCACTCATGTCTCATGACAGTCTTGTCATGTCACATAACACTAATTTATGTTATCTTTCCACCTAATTATTCTAATAAGCTCCTTGAAAGCACAGGCCATGTCTTACGCTGATTTTCCCCCAGAGTGCCTTACTCAATCTGTGATGACAAAGTAGGTACTTGGTAGGTATTATTTTGAGGGCAGAGACTGTCTTTGCTTTTGGATTTATAGCCCCAGTGCTGAACACGTTTGGCACACAGCAATCACTTAATAAATATATTTCATTCATTCATTCTCCCCCTGAAGTTCTCCCTCCTCTCAAAAATTTTAAAATAAACAGGACCTGGTCACAGATCAGCCCTTCCAGTGAACAACCCCGTTCTGCCCCTTTGCTGAATCCATTTCTATTTGGAGCAATTGCTGTCCATCTAAGTGTTTGCATGACCAATGAGGTCAACATCAGTCCGGGAATACACTGACCTCAACTCTCCTGGGGAGACAGACAATCTAGCTTTCACCTGTATATCTCATTTGGGTCAGCCCCCATCCCTACTGACAATGGCTAATCATGGAGCCTGAGACAACACTTCCCCCAGTTTCCTGCAATGCAGAGGCCACGCCTGCTAGTAACACTAGTGTACTGTCAGCTCCTATTTTAGGAACTATTTTATCCTTGGAAAATGAACATTCTCTTCTCCCTTCACATCGTTCCCCTCTGTGCATTCTCCATTCTAATCAAAGCCAACAGCTAGCTGTACCTGACATACAGAACTCTATTTCCTCCCTACGTGTTTTTGCCTATACTGTGCCCCTCACCTGGAGGGCTCTCCCTCCTCACCTCCTCTTTCTCTTAGCACTTCCCATACAACTAGTGAGCGTCAGTGACACGGTCCTAGCCCCCGGTCTCTTCAATGCCAAATCCCACAATATCTCACAGGGTTGCGATGGAGAAAGTACTTTGTGAACCTTCAAGGCCTACATAAAAGTTTGCTATTATTGTTATGCTGGGAAAATAGCTCAAAAAGGTCAGGGTGTGTCCAGTACTCTATGTTTATGAAGCTAGTGCACTCTCTGGGATTCCCAAAATCACCAGTCAGAGTTAAGGTGCTAAACCCTGCAAATTGCCCCTCCCCGCAAAGATCAGCCTTTTATCAAGCCTGGCATGAGGGGGGCAGGGTTTTATACCCACCTTGGCCCAGGGACAGGCTTCCCTGGCTCTAGTTGTGCCCCAGGGGCCTGGCTTCCTTCAGTACATGGTATGACTTCATTCACATAAGGAGCTAATGTAGGGGGCAAGGGGAGGTTGTCTGCTGCTCTTGCTCTGTGTGTGTGTGTGTGTGTGTGTGTGTGTGTGTGTGTGTGTGTGTGTCTCTTTCCTTTCTCTTTTCTCTTACTCTGTCTCCTCTATCTCTCTCGGTCTCTGTCTCTCGTCTCTATGTGTCTGTCTGTCTCTCTCTCATGTGTGTATCTCTCTGTTTCTCTCTATCTCTTGTCTCTCTTTGTCTCTGTCTCCCTCTCCTTTACCCAGCCTGGTTTTTAGGAAGAAGCCCCTCCCAAGTCCTCCCCCACTGCCCCTCCTCCTCTTAGAGGGGCGGGTGGATGCAATGCAATACCCTCGGTAAGGCTCAGGGTCAGATGGGCTGCCTTGTGTTCCAGGCTAGGCATAGCTGCCACTACTATAGCCTTGATCACCGTTCCTGACTTGTTTGCTAGGCCAGGGTAAGGAAGACCTAGCTGATTCCGTAATGGTGGGGATCCGGGCTGGCCTTGCTGGCCATCAACAGAGGCCATCTCAGAGTCAAACCCTCCCGTTTTATAGATAAGAACACTGAGGCCAGACGCAGTCAAAAGACTAGTCTGAGGTCACACAACCAGCTGGAATTGTAAGAGACAAGGTCATGGTTTTAGAGCTAAAATTGACCTCTGGAGGCACCTGGTCTAATCCTCTTATTCTGAAGAGAAGGGACTAGCCCAGGATCACAGCGCCAGGAGTGGAACGGTGGGTCCCCTGCCCAAAGGCCAATCCCCTTTCCATGGAGAAGGCAACAGAGGAGGAGAGGCCCCTGAAGGGAATTCAGAGGATCAGATTCAGAACTGGAAGGGAGCTCAGAGACCACCCAGCCCTGACTCAGCTCCCATGGAGGCAGGAAGTGTCAGGGCCGGGTTGGGTGCCCGGGACCTCAACCGACAGGGCCTCTAGCTAGCTCCGGATAGCTTCTCCCACACCCAAGAAAACAAATAAAATGATGGCAGGTATCACGAAACTTGAAAGAGCCTGAGTACTCCACCCAGCGAATAATTTCTACTCAAATGCATACACCAAACAGTATATGCCCCATTGTTAAGCCTCTTTATTGGTGTCAAAGATAGCAAAGCAGATTTATTTATCCAGAAAAATCCTTTCCCTCAAAGCATATCCTACTGATTTCTCCACTGGTTCACTGTTCGGCCATTTTTTAGTCACCCCATTTGGGGTTTTCTTGGCAAAGATCCTAGAGTGATTTGCCATTTCCTTCTCCAGCTCATTTGACAGATGAGGAAACTGAGGCCAACAGGGTAAAGTGACTTGCCCAGGGCCACCCAGCTAGTAAGCGTCTGAGGCCAGATCTGAACTCATGAAGATGAGTCTTCGGAACTCCAGGCCCTGCACTTTACACACTATGGTGCCACCTAGCTGCCCTTCCTCATTGGTAAGTGCTCTCCTACCCCAACTGCTCCAGCTATAGCAGCTATAGATTTTTCACATACTTGTATTGATTTCTCTGCTTCCAGGCTGAATTCTCCCAACCCCAATAGAATTAAAGCTCCTTGAAGGTAGCCATTTCCATTCCTGTCTTTGTGTTCAAGGGGCCCACCACAGTGTTGGAACTTGAATGTCACCAAGACACAGTAAATCTGTTGTCCAAGACACCAGACACTCGGCTTTGGACAACCTTTGTTACGGCACAGTTGACAGGCCGTTTAATCCAAACCCTGCATTTTCCAGATGGGGAGGCAGAAGCTCCGATAGGTGATGAGGTCACCCAGGCAGAGAATAACAGTGCCAGAATTTGAATCCAGACCCTCAGAGGCCAACCTAGGGGTTCCTGCCACTCCACCAAGCTTCAATCCTCCAGACGGCCTGCTCTGGACATAGGTCCCCTGAACGCTATCTAAAGTATAG